CCAGAACCCTCTGGTCCTGGTTCCCCCGGGACTCCAACCCAGAACCCTCTGGTCCTGGTTCCCCCGGGGACTCCAACCCTGGTGCCACACAGCTCGCAGAGCAGTTTCCTTCGACTTACAGGCATTTCGAATGTAACTTTTAGCGTCTGTGGCTCTCCGTTGGTTATTTTCAGGTTTATGGGCTTTGTCACTAGCCTGCCAGCGCCTGTGCTGCTGCAGTCCGTGGTGGTCCGCGGGAGCCCCTCAACCTGGAAATGACATAAGAAACAGGAGAGGAATAAGATGCATATGTTGCACGCTTTTATATCTGTTGCCTTAGATTTCTCCTGTAATCAGTCGGTTGTAGAACAGGGATTTATTGCTCAGCTTAGTTCAAAAGCGAGATTTCCATGAGCCAATAGTGTCATTTCCTACATAAGCAATTCCACACCTGGCAGCTAACTGACTGTTTGGGGTTGGCGGTGATGTTTCCAGCCTGGTCGTGAATTTCCACATCAAAAATGGCGGGATTTCCATTTTCAACCTCTAGTTGGGCAGCTTCTGATTTCACATGAAGGGAATGCGGCTCACCTGGAAAAGGAGATATTTACGTGTTGACAAGTGAACGCAACAATTACAGCATCACTAAATCTGCAGCAACTGTTTATGTATCCATCACATCACCTGGATCGGAAAAGATTTCAATATTCCAGAAAAGCTGTTCGTCAAATAGTTTACAAACTGAAGTAATAATAAAAACTGAGACATTTGCAACCATTCATCTGAGAGACAGCGAGTAGGAAAAGGTATGTCCACTAAGTTCATTTAAGTTCTACTAGAGGTTAAAAAAAAAGGGATGAATGGATACAAAAAGACAATTAAAGCAGATTTCTACAAATCAAAGAGTAAAAAAAATGTCAATTTTTTTTAGAAAATACAACAAAGATGAGGTGTAAAATGTTCTGGTGCTTTATGAACTGAACTGCTGAGGAAACACATACGTTTGTTTTCTTTTTGTCCTAAAACTTTTAGCATTATCCTTCTCATTTTCTCATAACCCAACTAAATCTGATGTTGAGTTTAATGTTTAATTTTTGTGAACGATCCCGATAAAGTGACATAAAAAAAGAGAAATTTTCCATGCAAAAAAGTAATGTTTTCAACTATCGAATCCCCTTTTCAATCTGAGTGTACTCACATCGTGCATTTCGCTTCTCGATGTTGTGAACTATAAATATCGTCAGCCTTACCGGGAAGAAGGACGATCTTCACGGTCTGCTCGTCATTTTGGAGTCCAGGTAGCTTCACCCTCAGTTCATAACCCTGAGAAACAAATGTGTTTTTAAAAAAACAAGAAAGTAAGCGAGCTAAACTCTCTTGTGGACAGGTCGGTCTTGTCTGAAAAAGACTGCTTCTAACCTCTGATTGCTGATCGCTGCGCACTTTTCCTAATGCCTTGACGCCTTTGATGGAGAACGTGTTCTTGCTGCTGTCCACAGACATATAACTCAAATCCAGGTCACTTGAAAAATTAAACAAAAATCAGTTACGTCATTTTGATCTTTTTATACTTAATTGATGCTCACTGTTAACCCTGTAAAGCCAAATGTATCATATTTGATACATACGGTTTCTGAAATGTTTTGCGTCTTGGTAAAAACTTTGCTCAAAATCCTATTGTACACAATCAGATACACCTGATAACAGGGGGCAGAAGACTACACAAAAAATAATCTTGACTTATCGCATAGTAATAAATTATCAATATTAAAAAAGTATATCTGTTTTTTCTTTTGACATATTATGTTAAAAGGCCAAATAAGGAATTCAACCCAAAAAAAAGTAATTTTCTGTTTTGTTTTATTCTTGGATCAAGCTTTAAAGGGTTAAATACTATTCACATTGAATGAGCTATGATAGAAAAAGCTAACAAATACAATTTGGGTAAATCAGGGAGAATGTGACTGAGATTTCCTGAGATCACGACAAATGCTTTGTAGGTTTTGCATCCTAGCAGTGACTGAGCTGATGATGTCATCAGCAGTTTAGTCTGAGAGGCCAGAATATGTCAAAGAAAGATGACCAAAGGGCTCTCTAAAAGCACGTCTGTTTATATAACCGAGCAACAATAAACAGCGGGAGGGTTGGGAAACGTTGTAACCCTTTGATTCCTCTTATAACAGGAAAAAAAAACAGAGATGAATTCCCAACTGAAATGGAACCCACCTGCATCTGAGTTCAGGCTGGAGGCGAAGAGGCGGCGCCGCCTGGTGGCCGAAGCGGTCCTTCATCTGCAGGGGAATGTGGAAGGGCACGCCCACGCGAACCGTGGGTCTCACCCCCCCCACCGCGAAGCCGACCGCCTCCCCCTCTGAGGCGAACAACAACAAGAGGGACAGGTTTCAGTGTGTGAAGGCGCCATAAAAACGGCGGGATTCGTCTCCACCTTTGACGGTAAATGTCAGCGCCCAGCTCGGAGGCCTTTGGAGATTGAAGTCCTTTACTTGGGTGGTCAGAGTCAGCGTGTACTTTCCCAAGTTGGTTAGACGGTCTAAAAGGATGAGAGATGTAGTCACATAATCTCCAAACTTGGAAAATGAGGGTATCCGAGCAAATGGATGTTGACAAATGAGAAGTACATACTGATTTTTTTGAACCAGTATCCACTATCGGTATGAGGTGCGAGAAACTGGACAACCACATGATCTCTTTTAGGGCCTTAGTATGAAAGAAAAAATATTGAAAGTAAAAAAGGAGATGGGTGGATCACAATCAGACTTCTGTTTCAAGCTATTAGTCTAAATTCAACGTATAGTTTTCTGCTGTCATTCAGACTTTAGACAATTTTAGAAAATTGAGTACAAAGTCTGAGAAATACATTTGAAACGCTGTGAATAAACCCTGTTTGCTTCGCGAGGTGGACGATCTTACCATGATGGACTAGTTCAAGACTCATTCTTAATGGTGTCCCGGGGCCCTTTGTTTGAATCCTGGACAGCTTGTCTCCCTTACTGTTCAGTATTTCAACTTTGAGGGGGCCTGCAACGATGCGACATAGAAAAACAAATGTAGGATTTGTGCTTCTCAAAAACGCGACACATTTAGAAAGAAAGCCTCACCGAAAACGGTCCCTGCAGGATAAATGTCATTCGGTGACAGGGAGTTTCCCTCTGGCCAGTCTACCGTCAGCTTCTCTGGGAGCCTGCAGTGGACAAATGAGATTCACCAGAGCTGACTAAAGTCTCCACAGGCTGAAATGACAGCTTGTAGGGAGCTAAAAATAAATGTGACATCACTTTCATAATCATATTTAATAAACATGTGGAAATTAGGCCTTTGCTATGGCTGTATACTGACTTGTCAAGGTCCTTCTCGATGGCTGCCTGGATGGTTTCATTGGTCGCATTTCTGTCAATCTTGGTGATTGGCAGGATCTTAGGCATCCCATAAAGTGCTACAGGCTCCTAACAAAGAGACCTGAGGGTAAGTTTCAGAGCTCACTGCGATTTAATTTTGACAGGACATTAAAAAGCTCCACAGTTAAAAGTTGATGTGAACCCCGAAGGTCTGGAAACTTTTAGCATTCAACCAACAAAGAGGAGATTTGGTGATGATGTACATGATTTTTTAGGATCTTCCACAAAGCCAAAAGCATTCAGGAAAGTTATCAACTCAATGACAAAGCAAAGAGTTCAGATTTCGACTCAAATGTGAATGTATGACTTAAATTTAAAAATTAATTTGGAACCTGGCTGATGATGAACGCTAATTTCTAATGGGTGATGTTCATGTACTCAAAGAACCCAGAAGCTGTAATAGCCAGAGGAGATGCAACGTTTTTAACCGTGACTTTTTATTTCCTACTTTTGTTATAATACAAAAACACTGATCTCTTTTTGTTTCTCTTGTTTTATTTGTTTCTGCTGTGAAAAAACTCATTTCCCCTTTGGGGTATCAATAAAGTTTTATTCTATTTTATTCTATTCTAAACGGGGGAAAAGCGTCAGATGACATCACTTATGATCAAATATAGTGAGCAACACAAACAGAACCAGCCTTAATATCGCATTTACAGCCTTAACCTTAGCTTTAAAATAACATTTCCTTTAGCCAAAAGCAGCCGATGGCTTTGTCTTACTCTTTTTATTTCCACCTGACCTCCCGTGGCAAACACGTCTTCCCCGTGGGTTCCGAACAACAGGAACCCGGCAATGGTGCCGTGGTAAATGGGCGACGTGTTCTGAGACTTCACCTGCACGAAGAAACCAGACGCGGTTGAAGCAACCAGAAGGGATTTAACAAAAAGATTCAGCGGTACTGATGAAGAAAACTCTCACAAGTTGGCCTGCTCTGTATGTTTTCCCGTCCCATTCGATGGATGAGAACGTCGCCCAGGGATGCTGCATTCTCTTGTTTAACTCTGGCCGGGAGATGGTCTCCTTGTAGCCCCGAAACTTCACCTGTTTGTCGTGTTTGGCGTGACAGTTTTGAAGCCACTGCTTGAAATCCTTCTGTATGTTTCCTCTTTTGGAGTGTTTCTGTTGCTAAGCAAATAAAAATGAATGAAATTTTTTTTTTTTTTAAATGGCTTCAAAAACAGGTCTGTAATGTGGAAGAGGCTGTAAATAAAGGGCTGTTTTTTTCATGTTCAGACAGGGATACACAAACAGTTTGGAATCATGTCAATAGCTGTCTTTTCTGTTGTTGAACAATTTCACCATCCATATTCTGCTAAATAGCGTACTCCTAAAACACCTTGTACACCTTTTCAGTGGCAGATGGAGTCCCTTTCACAACTCATTTTCCTCTATTATTATTATTATTATTATTATTATTATTATTATTATTATTATTATTATTATTATTATGTCACTTTGGAACAGATGAGGAACATAGATGAAGAGCTTTCTAATTGAATCTAAAACAGTTACAGGAAATAGTTTAATTAGGCACCCTGATCACAGATAGAGTTAAGATAATAATAATTCCAATAATTAGAATTGCAATCTCATTTAACGAAGGACTTGTGGTCAATGTTGCTTTTGACAAAGAGTTGGGCGTGTGCAGATTGTCACCTGGGGATTCAGAATGGGGGTGAAGATGGTTTCTTTATCTTTCAGTTTCAGCTCGAGGTCCATGAAGTGCAGCTTATTGGTGGAGACCTGGAATCTGTCGTCCGTGAAGAGCACCCCAGACAAACGACCAAAACACTCTGCAGGTACTGGACTTTTACTGTTCCAAGAGCACCAGTCAAACCTGGAACACATGGGCAAAAAAAACACAGGAGTAATGAATCCCGGTCAAGGAATAGTTGGACATTTTCAATTCAGTTATTGCTATTTACGATTCAGTGTGAAGCTTCAACCTCAAGAGCCTATAAGCACTCTGGGGAGGGTCAACCTGGAACTGGGCCGATGTTAACGTCATTAATGCTAGTTGATGTTTGATGGGTATGAAGCCAATAATCCACAATCCTCTTTTAAACAGCGGCTGAAATTTGTGTCGGTTTTTCTGCAGATTTACTGACCGATCGCTGCGAATATGTGCAGAAAAATCGGTCAAACTGGGGTCCGAAGAAGTACTCACTCAGACACTGTGGTGTAAGGGATGAGCCGCCCATTCCAGTAACATTCAAAGATGTCCCTCTTCCCTCTTGCCCGATTCTGGGCGACAGGTTCATTTTCACAACTGTCATCATCCTCATCATTGACAGAAGCTACGAAAAAAACAACAACGTAATCCGTTTTAACTCATTGACTGGCAGCCATTTTCAGAACGGAGAGTCCCATACTGCCAGAGTTTTTTTTAGCATTTTGACTGATTTTTCAAGAGCCACAGAATAGTTTGTGCTATGACTATGTAAACACCGGACACACCAAAAGAAAGACTAGACTCTCTTCTTTCATCAGGAAAAAAAGTTTTGTTTCTACCTTATTCCTTTCTTCCTCTACGTGCATCTCACCGGCGCCATTTCTCGCATAGCGAACCATTGCGTTTTTCTTATTTGCCTACAATCTATGCTCATCTCCCATCAAAAGAGGCACAGCTACCTAGAGGGTCAATTTGTTACTACGTACTCTGTCTGGAAGCCGATATTTAGAGAAAAACTTTAGGAGATCGTCCCCCAAGCCACTAGCGTTGAAAAACATAAAAGACGTCTATAGACGTCTTTGGCAGCCAATGAGTTAAAGGCAAGCTCTGAAGTGTCATGTCCTAAAAAAATGGATTCAGAGTCCAATCAGAGTACCTGGAGCAGCGTTTGGATCTTTGGGGTAGGTCTCTGTGTCGTACAGGAAGGGGTGGTAGCGAATGACCCCCTCCACTGTGCCGCTGTCAGCGAAGGCCCTGAACTCAAAGCTTTCCGCTGCAGTCTTGATGTAGAGCGTCTGCATGTCATCAACCACATCCCGGAGGTGTATATCGGGAAGGCTTTTGGAGAACTTGTCCCACAAAGTCAGCTGATCAACAATGAGAAGTGAGTTTAACGCCCTGCTACCAACTACTATCAGATCAAAACACCGAGTCTCACCAGAATGTCGATTTTCAGGAAATCGCTGGACCGTTTTGAGGCCTTTCGCTTGTCATTTCCGTCAACCCCATGAATGTAATAGTGATAAACGTGCCTGGAATATAGAAAACGACACTGAGTAGAAGCCCGAGGACCTGAAAATACATGATGTGAGGTGGGTGAGTGAGCTCACGCAAGCTCAGTAGCCAGCTTGTGGAAATTTTTTTTCAGGTACTCGACGTGATCTTTCTTGACTCCTGTGATCACGACGGCGGTGAAGCTTTCCTTCTCGGTTTCCTCGGCGATGACGTCCCGGAGGAAGCTGTCGTCCTTTGACACGTGCGATGAGTCGCAGGGCTGAAACGTCAGCAGACGATCCAATCAACCGACACCTCGTTTTTTACCAGAGCGATATTTCCAGATGCGGACAGAGAGGGCACCTACCTTCCTGTTTACGATGGTCCCTTTGTAAACGTCCTCGTTGTTCTCCTCCCTCCTCTCAAATTCCGTTTTCGACAGAATCAGCTCGTGGACTTCCGGAGAACTTGCCGATTTGGTGATCATCTAATGATGGTTTTTGCCCCAATACATTGAATGACAGCACAATTTACAGGTGAAATTTTTAGGTGAACAATTCTTAATACATAAAACATTCATTGACTTTTAAATTTAAGCTTAGCTTAGTCGACTATATGAAGGCATAGATAGATAGATAGATAGATAGATAGATAGATAGATAGATAGATA